TAAAGAGGGCGGGCGAAACCGGATCACCCTGTCTAACTCTCCTTCTTATACCAAAATAGCCAGTGCTTAGACCTCGGTTCATCACACAGCTGGAGGGGTTATTGTAAAATAATTTGATCCAGTTAATAAGGGTAGGGTCAAAATTAAAACTGTTAAGGGGGTGGAAAATAAAATCCCATTCCAAGCTATCAAAAGCCTTTTGAAAATCAGTGGCTATAAGTATTCCTGGTTGATTAGTATCTTTGGTGTAATTCATAATTGATTCAATAAGGCGTACACAGTCCCCAATTGATCTACCCTTAATAAAGGCTGACTGCGTTTCATTAACAATTTTAGGAAGAATTTTATCAAGTCTTCGTGCAATGCAATTTTGTAATCAGTATTAAGTAAGGTTATTGGTCTCCAGTTTTTGATAAATCTTTTATCTTTTCCCTTTTTTTCGATGAGTGTGATAACCCCCTGTTGTTGACTGTTGCTAAGTTTACCGTGCATATATGCAGTATTTAGGGAATTTACGACAATTTCTCCAATTAGAGGCTAAAATGTGCGTTAAAAATCATTACCTGGGGCTTTATTGCTTGGTAAACACTTTAGCGCTTCAAACGCCTCGTTCATTGTGATAGGGCCTTCACACGAATCTCTTTCCATGGAATTTAATTTGGAGTGGGTTGTAAATATATTGTCCATATTTAATTGATTTATCCGCCTACTGCGGTATAAATTAAAAGAAAAATGTTTAATTTGTGATTATTTTTGCATTATGGCGCTCAAGACCCAGGAAAAATTTTGTATTCTTTTTCACCCTGTTCGTACCAGCTTGTACGGGGACGGATTATTGCTCCGTTTGTAATGTACGCATAGTCTCCCTGTAATTGTTTTTGTGCGGTTTCGAGCTCATTTTGAATATTAATAGTTGGACGGGTTGACATCAATTTATCTAATTCCGATAGTTTATTTTCCAAATCACGTATTTTATCTTTCCTGGCAACTGCTTTTGATTTGCTATACTTCATTGTACAGTTTTTGATTTTGTATTTAAGAAATTCCCACAAGAGTATACTGTTATTTTGTCCAAACTCGTCAACCCACGTTAAAAATTTATTCTGAATTAGAATAATAAAACTTGTATCTTCTAAAAAGCTATTATTGAATTTCCAATATGATGTTCCGAGTCTACAACGATCATCACCAATGGTTAAAGTTATAGCAGAATGTTCTGAAAGCACACAGGGGACAATGTCTGCGGCACTCACTGCTAATTGAATCGAGCTACTAACTAACAAATAATCTAAACGGCTCTGTATAAGCCTAGGTCTTAGGCGCCGCCAAGTAAAACGCTTAGTGCGGGATTACGCAGCCGCCAGATGTAGATCAAATCAAGTTCGGAGCATATATCGTCAAATTTTGAAAGTGAGTTACGCCAAAGTGTCGGGTTACCTGCTCCATTCTATCTTGAAGAATATCTGGTGTAAAATTATGGTCCCCTCCCCAAACAAATTCACTGTCTGGTTGAATAGTAATAGAATTAAGTAACAGATTCAAAAAAGAGAACATGATCGGTTTCATTGTTAGGTGCATATGAATTATAAGAGTGTAGGGCTTACCCATAATATCCACTGCGATAATAATGACTCTTTCCCATGGAATCTTTTGTGACTGAATGTATTGTATAATCCTGTAAGATTACGAAAGATGATGGCCGTACCTCAACTCAATGAATTTCCATGAGAAAATATGCAATGACCAACAATTGATCTGTCACCTGCTCACCTTTCTTGACTGTGTGCGTTTCTGAAGAAAAATGATCTGAAATTTGTTATTTTTTAGCCAGTCAAAAACAGACTTTCTTTTCTTTTGGTTCCCTAAACCCCTTAATTTTAAGGAAATTATATTAAATTGACTCAACATTACAGGAATTATAGTTAATTGTGTCTACATAAATGCATAGTATCAATCGGGTGATACAGGTAATGGTTTTAGTCTCCAAATAACAAGAAAAACAACGACAAAAAAACAGCAGCCATCTACAACGATGTCCACAAAAAACACACAAGTGCCCAAAAACACAAGGGCAAAAAAACAAAGAGGCAAAAAGCCATGACATTGTATACCAAAAAAGGGCAAAATGCCAGGAGAAAATAAAAAACTCGAGAGATGCTCGGCATGGCAAGCTCTCTGTTCTAAATTGATTGTTATATATAGCTATTTAGAGGTAGGTATAGGCCTTTTAGTAGAAAAAAAAAGTTTGGTATTCAAGAGAATAAAAGTGACAAATCTAATAGATACAATCAATTTTTTGGAATTTACGCTCTGATACACTGTTGACCAAATTTGATTTCTAGAATGTGTATTTTTTAAATGCATTATACTAGTATTAACAATAAAAAAAATGAATCGACTAGCGTTACCATCCACCGACTCAAGAAAAAAGAAGCAAAAGTGATAACAACTATTTTATATAATTTGAGCCACATGTAGATGACCATAAAGACAAAGCTTGGTAGACATGTATCACATTATTTGAAAACAGTGCAGGAGGTCAAACATATACAATTGACTCATTTTGGTTATTTTAATTATTTCCACTTAAAATGGAGGTTGAAACTTTTGGCAGTATAGTATATTCATTCACATAAAATGCAGTAATGGGTCTGATAAATGTTATATTGTTACATTACACAATAATCTACATTACTATATAGTACTAAGACTATTATGTAACTGACCATCGATAAATAGTTTACCATTTGTGAAACGTACTTTTTTACCATTCTTATAAGAGTTCATAACATTCTTCAGAAGCACGTTTGGCATCCAAATCTGATTTGCAAAGATCTACAGTTACAAATATTCCTATCACCTAAGCAGGAACGTTTCTTAGCAAGGATATCGCTACGCTGAAGCCGTACGGGAAATTTAACCAATATATGTCGTGGTACACTTTTTTCCTTCCTATTGTCACGTATTGGAACGCGATGGGCGTTGTCAATTAATACATTAGACATTCCAAATTTATGTTAGTTATAATAGTTGCACAGTCTTTCGTTTTCTGCGATTCCACCAAATCTAAGATTATATCCCCGTGTATACCGCTCCAAATTGATAGATGCCGTCTCCGTAATTACTAATCTCTCAGTGGTTGACGCCAAAGCTGACTGTAAACTAGATACCTGTGACTGAAGACTTTGGACAGCACTTTTTACGTTGTCCACGTCCTGGCATGTGAACTGTAATGAATTCTCAAAATCTGTACACCTGTTTTCAACAACGGCCACTCGTTCTGAAATTTTCTTTTGTTCCTTTAAAATGGATGACGTGGTGGCAGTAATACCAGAAACTTCTTTCTCCAATTCACATAGACATGACTTCATTAGGGACTTCATATTGGCAAGAGAAAGATTACTCACAGTTTCATGTTCACCCCTGTTCCAGGTGTATCAGGCAGAATGTCATTGTCGCCACGAACATTTTGAAAATAGCATGATGTTGTTTCGTTGTTTGTAGCAGATTTGCCCTTCTTTTTATCACGATGCGGACGATCCCCCATGTATGCGTACTGTTAGGTAAAGCACTAAGTTACAAGCTATAAAGTTAGTTCATTGAAAATATTGTAGAACAGAGAGTTCGCAGCGACGAGCTAACGTGGCACACCTGTTGCGAGCATGCGCACTATACAGTTATTAGTCCACATTCGGAAAACATGAACTTATAATTTCACCTTTCCGATTTCAAGCTTGAAGTAAATAAAATAAAAATATGCTTTCAACATACTCATTTCAGAGACAATGATGCAATTGAGATGAGATGTTCAAAATGGGTTGAACGTAGCATATTTTGTCTGTTTTTAGGGCATTTCATTCAAACTTCACACATACACACATCAGCTGACTGGCTGGCAATTATTTTGTTTTTAGGAATGTTGTTTTTGGAGCCATATTTCTAACATGACTGAATTAATCATGTTCAAACTTCACACACGTCAGATCAGATTTGAAATGATTAACTGGTTGGCAATTATTTTGTTTGTAATGAATGCGGTTTTTGGAGCCATACTGCTAACATGGCTGGACTAATCATGTTCAAACTTCACACATACATCAAATCAGATTGAAATAGCTGACTGGCTGGCAGTTATTTTCTTTTTAATGAATGCTGTTTTAGGAGCCATATTGCTAACATGACTGGACTAATCATGTTCAAACTTCACATGTACAATTGTACATGCATCTGTTTCAGAATCAGATGAATGTTATAAACAGAATAAAGGAAGGAATCACACAAATAAACTGGCACTTTGAATCATGTCATATAAGTGTAAATAATTATTTGGCACTAAAAACTGGACAGAGATTTGTCATTGACAATAACTTGTACTATCAATACCTTGCTGTGAATTTTGTTCAGACTGGACTTTATCTACTTGTTTGCCAATTCATTGTTATGGTATGTTACCTATGAAATGAAAAGTTAGATTTCATTCTCGCCTGTGTGTTACTAGTACTGTAAAATTTGTATTAGAAATCGCGGCTTCTATTAAAATGGTACAATGCAATAGAGGGAATGTGGCTTTTATTAGAGCATCTACACATATGAGAAATGATGATTTTTTGATTCTCAATTTTTCAAAAAGAATGGGTGCGACTTCCATTAGGGATGCGGCTTCTAATACAGATTTTAGGGTACCAGGAGTAATTGTATGCCACGTTCAGTTTGGTATGAATATGCAGTGTATAACCGACCACCTTAAAGGGCGGTTGTCATCCAGATCGTGTTCTAATTTCATGTAAATAAACAATGTATTTTACATGTGTTGTATACTTCGCTGTGAGT